TAAAGTTGAGGCTGCCCCTGCTCCTAAAGTTGAGGCTGCCCCTAAAGTTAAGTCTGTTGCTGCTTCTAAAGCTGAGGCGGCGGCTGCTAAAGTTGAGGCTGTTTCTGCCCTTAAAGTTGAGGCTGTTCCTGCCCCTAAAGCTGAGGCTGCTCCTGTCCCTAAAGGCAAACCTACCCCTAAAGCTAAGGCTGCTGCTCCTAAAGTTGAGGCTGCTGTTCCTAAGGTTGAGTCTTGTGCTTCTAAAGTTGAGGCTGCCCCTAAAGTTAAGCCTGTTGCTGCTCCTAAAGCTGAGGCGGCGGCTGCTAAAGTTGAGGCTGTTTCTGCCCCTAAAGTTGAGCCTGCCCCTGCTTCCAAAGCTGAGGCTGCTCCTGCCCCTAAAGGCAAGCCTACCCCTAAAGCTGAGGCTGCTGCTCCTAAGGTTGAGTCTTCTGCCCCTAAAGATGAGGCCGCCCGTAAAGTTAAGCCTGTTTCTGCCTCTAAAGTTGAGGCTGCAGCTTCTAAAGTTAAGTCCGCTCCGGCCCCTAAAGTTAAGCCTACCCCTGCTACTAAAGTTGAGGCTGCCCCTACCCCTAAAGCTGAACCTGTCCTTTTCACTAAAGTTGAGCCAGCCCCTGTTCCCAAACCAGTTAAAGCCCCATCCATACTGGAGCCAGTCATCAAGAACGACAAGGGTATCTCTTTCTATCTATCTCTTTCTGTCTGTTTTTGCTTTTTATGCATATGCTGGTTAGACTTGTGCCGGTATTCGGTAATGCGATATATCACGGTAATGAATATGCATGATATTGTTATTGTGGGCACTTCTAAATACCGTGAATAATTATATATTACAAATTATTCCGAATTTTGAATGCATTTTAAGAATACTTTTCCCATCAACTGGTCAAAATGCACAACACCACTATATGTTGCGTGAAAGACTGTATTATGACAGCACTTTTTTAAAACTAAATTTCAATATTGTGATAATACCGTATACCGTGATAAAAGCATTAGCAATTAATCGTAACATGAAAATTTGATACCGGCATATCCCTAATGCTGGTGTATATATTGTCAAATGTTTCCTCCCCACAAATTCTTTAGGGTCACTTCATCAGTGAAATTTAGCCTGGTAACTATGGTCTGGAAATCGCCTTTTCTTAGTCTGAGTTAAATTAAAGCTTTAGTTGGATGCTTTTCAGGAAGTAGTTCAAAGAGCATAGGGCCAATAGTTGAATGGTTTATCAATGTGGATATTGTTCAGAGTTATAAGCATAATGGCAATTTACGTTTGCTTCTATTTTGAGGTATATTAAAGGGTATTAAAGTATTTGTGCAATTTAAAACACTGTAAAACTGATCCACCCTTTTCTCCATTGCCATTGAAGAGTTTGATTATTCCAACAGGATTTTTGGTGAAAATCTATGTGTCTAATGGCAAATTAACTTAATGTGTCTTGGTGTTTTAGGGTCTGGGTGCTGTATGATGGAGAATGCCCAATATGTTTTAAAGAAATTAGGTTTCTTCAGAGAAACTGAGCAGATAAAGTAGATTTTGTGGACATCTCACTGCCAGAATATGATGGGAGCAAATATGGAGGAGTCAGTTATGAGATGGCAATGGAGGAAATGACTGTGATTGATGAGAAGAACAAGGTGAGAGATTTTTATTTTATTTATCTTATTTATTTTTTGTAGAAAGTCACAAGAGCATTTAAAAAGTCCACACTGAATGATGATGTGTCATAATTTACTCACCCTCATTTGGAATAATTTTGGGAACTTTAAACTAGTTGCCAACTTTCTGAAAAAAAATCTATGAATCTTTTGGGTTTTCCTTTGATTCTTTTGAAAAAAAAATCATGATTTCTCACTGGTTTTCCTCAGTCTAAAACATTCAGAAACATTTGTATGGTATTTAAATTCAAGGAGCACCTTATCAAGTATAATTAATTATTCCTCAATGTGACTTTTTGTTCTTCTGAGAGCAGATTCATCGTGGAGTTCCAGCTTTCACAGTGATGTACAGTGCGGTGGGTTTGGCTTGGCTTGGCACGTTCATCTCTCTCCCACTGTTCAGGCCTGTAATGGAGCGAGCGTATGGGGTGTTTGCAAGAAACAGACTGAAGTGGACCTGCAGAGAGGGCTGCACCACTGGACACTGTGCTAAAAAAATAGTCATAAGGGATAGAGAGCTTTAAAACAGACTTTCCAGGTCAATGGATGTATTGGAAGTAACAACTGTTATTGTTATTTGTTAAGTTTATTGCATTTAATATTTAAGAGTCTGAATATAACGGTAATGTCAATATGTGAACAGAATAAATGATCTTTTATTAAGATCTCCAACTTAAAAAAAAACACGCACTGTGATATATGTATATACAATAAATTACTCGTACTGTGAGGGAAATGATGCCAGAGTGTTGACACTTTGAACAGTTCTGAGGGAACGTTTTCTAAATTTAGAAGCCTCCTGACTGGACATCAACTGTTAAGATGCAGAAGGACAGCTTGTCCTTTAATGAGAAATAGTCAGGGGTTTGGTCAGTAGTCCCTTTAAACCAACCAATAGGATTTTAACTTCAGAGTAGGGTGGGATTAAAAACCACAACAGAAACAAGTGTAAACACCACAGGACGTAATCCAAGAGAAAACAAGCAATATAAGTGTTTTGGAAGGAAAGTCAGCATTTATTTATCACCTTGAAGTCAAGTTCAGGAGATAAAGAGAGAGCGACAGGTAAGACAAAATAACTAGTTTATTTGAAATCTACAAGTGACCCTCAAGGTTAAGTGTGCTTTGTTGAATTGGACTTAACTTGACCTTCTGTTTTAGTGAAGAATAAATTATGATATTTTTTATGTTACGAGTTGTAATCATTACTTAAGCTACACACTGTAAACAGTCACACTCTTTATCTTACAGAATTACAACCAATAGATAGTGTGAGTGTGTGTGTGTATATCTCTGATTTGTTTGTTTTATTAAGGCCAATGAGATTTATGACTCTAATAATAGATTTCTATCATTCATTAAAATATGTATTGCTTAACATTTTTCATATAAAAATATAGACCATGTTACTAGTACATTTGTAATTTTTGCTGAATATGGGTCTGAGAATAGATACTGAAGTTTGTGCAGCATTTAAATTCTCAGTTGTTTATGATATACATTAGGGTCAGCCTTTGTGTTAATATTTTACACGTTGGAACAAATTACAAAAGAGAAAGCAGTCACTGGGGCTGCTGGTGAATTTTTACTATGTCTGGCATTTTAAATAGGTTGATTCACTGTGCCTAAGCACATGGATACAGGCATGTTGTGGAACTGTCTGTACACAACGTGACGCAAAGGCCGCTGCCAGTCCTCATAGATCACAACAAAGACAAAAGAGGCAAATAGCTGCACTTCTCTGCTGTCTGCCATGTGACCAACAGGCAACTATAAATATGTACCAGAGGTTCATGGAAGTACTAAACAGGGTATTTTTCTGACCTACAGTCGACTTCTTGGTGTCCTATTTCATAGTTCTGAGCACAGTCACCCTGTTCTTATTCACAGAATGGCTTATAAAATCCACTCTGCAAAATCCCTAAAGTACGGTGGCCGAGAGAGCTCAACGCGCTGCAACTTAAGAAAACACATGCAAATTGAAAAAACACCAGCAAATTAAGAAAACATCTTCATCAGTTTGACAACACACGCGCTGCAAATCCTCACAACACATGCAAATTAAACTGCTTCAGTCTGTGTGCACTGAATTTATTTAATACAAGAGTTTCACTATTTGAGTTGAATTACTGAAATAAATGAACTTTTCAACGACATTCTAATTTATTGAGATGCAATAATTCTACATGGCAACCTTGCCTGGTGATCTAGACCTAAGTGACCTTTTGATGATGATTTAAACAGTTTGACTTTCGTTCTTCTGAGTCTGATGAAGCCAAACTTTCTGTCCTGAGAGAGGAAACTTTCACAGTGGTGTAAGTGAAGAACACATTGAAGCTCACAAAACCAACTCAACTCCTGATGCTTTTTGCTCCTCTCAGATTGAAGATCTGTCCCAGCAAGCTCAGTTAGCAGCCGCAGAGAAGTTCAAGGTTCAAGGAGAAGCCGTTTCAAACATCCAGGAAAACACACAGACGCCCACAGTACAGGAGGAGAGCGAAGAGGAAGAGGTGAGTGTGATTCTAGAACAGAATAATACTGAAGATGCTTCATGAAAGGTCTTCTGTTGATGTGTTCAACAAATGTGAAAAGTAAATGTCCACATTCATGAGTGATTTGCTTTACCATTTGCAGGTTGATGAGACCGGAGTGGAGGTCAAGGACATTGAGCTGGTCATGTCACAGGCCAATGTATCCAGGGCAAAGGCCGTGCGTGCACTGAAGAATAACAATAATGACATTGTCAATGCTATTATGGTGAGTTAAACTGATAGCTTTATTTTAAAAGTTCTCAGTTTATGCAGTTAAATAAAATGTATTTTACAATTCAAAATTTTTTTTTTTTTTTCAAAACTCTTCTGTGATGAATTAACATTTGACTTTCGTTCTTCTGAATTTGTCCTGAAGCCAGTTCATTTGTTCTGAGAAGAGCTCAGGCTTTAAATGTGGTGCCATGGTTTCAAGCAGTATTACTTAATTCATCTTTTTGCCTGCCTTTACAGGAATTGACGATGTAGATGGAGATCAGGGACTGGGTCACATTAAGATGTTGCTGATTTGATCTACACAATTGTTTGTACAATTTATACACAAGAGAAATAAAGGCGTGGCTTGATGAAATGATATATTTTGTTGTATTTTTTTTTTTCTTCTTCTTTTTTTGAATATTTATTTCATTGTTTGGTAAATTTGTCCAGAGCAGCTCGAAACATGAATTCCATAGAGCAAGGGAAGGTAAAAATATGAACTAGCTCATATCACTGTCTGGGGATGGATCTTTTTTTTTATTATTTGTATAAAACATTATTTAAAATAAAGATTGTAATGTCCAGTCGAGGCTGTGTCGGATTACATATTTACTTTTTAATAAGTGGAAGATACAGTCACAGTTTTTTTTTCTAGTCCCGATTTTTTTTTTCAGATATTTAGAATGGACAGTGTGTGGGACTTTTATTTTGGAAAAGTAACAAGGAACAGTTACAGTCGGTGATCTCACGTGTGCGCACTGGCTTTTGTTTTGAATAATATACTAATGATCAAATACAATAAATTAACTTGATGCCGCAATACTGAAATGTCGTCGTCACACATGCTTGCATACGTTACTCGGTATGTAAAAATAAGTGTTAAGTTACTTCGTCTCTTAACGCGTTACCTAAATGTGTTGTGCAAGTTCTTAGCGAGTTAGCTAACAGACAACGGAACAAGTCATAAAGTACAGCACGTAATTTTAAATGCTCCTTTCTCTGTCAAATCAGTTTATAAGACTAAAATGGCTATCAGCTTACCTTTGGTTGGAGCTTTACGTTATATCGACTCCAGAACGAGTGTTGTTATTGCATAGCGACTGTTCTGCTCTCAAAAGAGGACAAGGATCTAATGACACTATAAGGGTGAGAACACACTTCTTCCTTAAACTAATTACAGTGACGTTGTTTTTACGCCCAGGATAGTCCAATAAATATATAGACTGGAGTGTGCATTTTTGAGCTTGTACGCATCAGAAGAAATATCTTGAAGGCAGCCTAGTGAGCTTTCCAGCCAGGCATCCTTATAAGCAGTGTATCATGTTCATTTTGTGCCATAGATGCTGTATGATGGAGAATGCCCAATGTGTGTTAAAGAAATTAGGTTTCTTCAGAGAAACTGAGCAGATAAAGTAGATTTTGTGGACATCTCACTGCCAGAATATGATGGGAGCAAATATGAAGGAGTCAGTTATGAGATGGCAATGGAGGAAATGACTGTGATTGATGAGAAGAACAAGGTGAGAGATTTTTATTTTATTTATCTTATTTATTTTTTGTAGAAAGTCACAAGAGCATTTAAAAAGTCCACACTGAATGCTGATGTGTCATAATTTACTCACCCTCATTTGGAATAATTTTGGGAACTTTAAACTAGTTGCCAACTTTCTGAAAAAAAATCTATGAATCTTTTGGGTTTTCCTTTGATTCTTTTGAAAAAAAAAATCATGATTTCTCACTGGTTTTCCTCAGTCTAAAACATTCAGAAACATTTGTATGGTATTTAAATTCAAGGAGCACCTTATCAAGTATAATTAATTATTCCTCAATGTGACTTTTTGTTCGTCTGAGAGCAGATTCATCGTGGAGTTCCAGCTTTCACAGTGATGTACAGTGCGGTGGGTTTGGCTTGGCTTGGCACGTTCATCTCTCTCCCACTGTTCAGGCCTGTAATGGAGCGAGCGTATGGGGTGTTTGCAAGAAACAGACTGAAGTGGACCTGCAGAGAGGGCTGCACCACTGGACACTGTGCTAAAAAAATAGTCATAAGGGATAGAGAGCTTTAAAACAGACTTTCCAGGTCAATGGATGTATTGGAAGTAACAGCTGTTATTGTTATTTGTTAAGTTTATTGCATTTAATATTTAAGAGTCTGAATATAACGGTAATGTCAATATGTGAACAGAATAAATGATCTTTTATTAAGATCTCCAACTTAAAAAAAAAAAAAAAAAAAACACGCACTGTGATATATGTATATACAATAAATTACTCAGTACTGTGAGGGAAATGATGCCAGAGTGTTGACACTTTGAACAGTTCTGAGGGAACGTTTTCTAAATTTAGAAGCCTCCTGACTGGACATCAACTGTTAAGATGCAGAAGGACAGCTTGTCCTTTAATGAGAAATAGTCAGGGGTTTGGTCAGTAGTCCCTTTAAACCAACCAATAGGATTTTAACTTCAGAGTAGGGTGGGATTAAAAACCACAACAGAAACAAGTGTAAACACCACAGGACGTAATCCAAGAGAAAACAAGCAATATAAGTGTTTTGGAAGGAAAGTCAGCATTTATTTATCACCTTGAAGTCAAGTTCAGGAGATAAAGAGAGAGCGACAGGTAAGACAAAATAACTAGTTTATTTGAAATCTACAAGTGACCCTCAAGGTTAAGTGTGCTTTGTTGAATTGGACTTAACTTGACCTTCTGTTTTAGTGAAGAATAAATTGTGATATTTTTTATGTTACGAGTTGTAATCATTACTTAAGCTACACACTGTAAACAGTCACACTCTTTATCTTACAGAATTACAACCAATAGATAGTGTGTGTGTGTGTGTGTATATCTCTGATTTGTTTGTTTTATCAAGGCCAATGAGATTTATGACTCTAATAATAGATTTCTATCATTCATTAAAATATGTATTGCTTAACATTTTTCATATAAAAATATAGACCATGTTACTAGTACATTTGTAATTTTTGCTGAATATGGGTCTGAGAATAGATACTGAAGTTTGTGTAGCATTTAAATTCTCAGTTGTTTATGATATACATTAGGGTCAGCCTTTGTGTTAATATTTTACACGTTGGAACAAATTACAAAAGAGAAAGCAGTCACTGGGGCTGCTGGTGAATTTTTACTATGTCTGGCATTTTAAATAGGTTGATTCACTGTGCCTAAGCACATGGATACGGGCATGTTGTGGAACTGTCTGTACACAACGTGACGCAAAGGCCGCTGCCAGTCCTCATAGATCACAACAAAGACAAAAGAGGCAAATAGCTGCACTTCTCTGCTGTCTGCCATGTGACCAACAGGCAACTATAAATATGTACCGGAGGTTCATGGAAGTACTAAACAGGGTATTTTTCTGACCTACAGTTGACTTCTTGGTGTCCTATTTCATAGTTCTGAGCACAGTCACCCTGTTCTTATTCACAGAATGGCTTATAAAATCCACTCTGCAAAATCCCTAAAGAGATTGTTGAATTAAAGACTTAATTAAAATTGGCTAATTAAAACATCACGGTTAAAAGGACTGAATTTTTATTAATCGAATTGGCTCACTTTTTTCTGTAATTATTTGGTTTGTAATCTGCATGGTGGCGTGTCATTTATTAGAAGATTTGCTTTGAATTACTATTGATAAATTAGCATAAGTACAAACTTCAAAGCAATTGACTATGGAGGATTTGTGGTGCCAAACTTGTCAATAAATAATGAAAAAGTCAGTAAATGGATAACATAAGTTACATTTGTCCATTGGACATGGATGTATTTTTGACATTTATTTACACATTATTTATTTATTGCGAAATTTCATTATTTATTTTAACTATAGTTTTATATATAAGTAACACAAGTATATAAATCCTCCATAACTGACCAGGAGGGGGCGTACAAACATAAATCAACACTGTGGTCTACATTATTAAACATAATGATCTTCATTATTTTTCCTGTTTATGGGAATAAATACAAAGAACTGACCTTTCTCTTAATTATTCACCACAAGGACAGACAGACACATTATGAATAAGAATCTCTTCCGCTTTGCTGAATTTTTGTTTGTTTCTTTCTATTTTAGACATTCCATGATTCTGATTCTGCTGCCAATGCTCATTCAGTCCTCATTCAGATCATTTGCTTGGTCTCTGTTGTTGTTGGTGCTTCACTGATGGCTTGGTACCTCGACAAAACCCGGGTCACTCACCTGGGGTCAAAGCGGCTCCGGTTACTGTACAAGTATCTGCTCACAAACATCAGAAATGTTTCTCACCTTGTCAGGAGGCCTCATCGGTCATGTCAGAGTATCTGCTCCTCTCAGTCTACAAGGAGAATCCCTCTCAAATCTCATAGATCAAAGAAGACTATCAGACTTTTTGGAGCAATTAGCAGTAATATGAAATATGAGAATGTACGGGGCCTTCAGATGTATCGATTATACTCAACCTCCAGTAGAGAGACTTTCAAAGCAGAAGCTCCCATTGGAGTTTACCAGCACAGCAGGACTACTTTTCGGCTGCGCTTGCTTGGACTGAGATTAGGAGAGTCTTTTAATCATCTCTCCAGACACATAAACTTGTACTTTAAGCAGAAACAGGTATCTGTGATAGATTATGGGCAAGGTGGATTGATGTCTGCAGTGCAGGAACCGCTAACCAGAACATCAAGACGAGTTCAGAGAGAGAGACGCACTGGAGAGTCCAGAGCTTTTGTTGGGACACCTGCCATTGAGCAGGTCTCTGAATCTTCCTCACATCAACCTTTGACCTCAGCCTATCCTGGACTACAGTTGTTCCACATCAGTTCTTTGGCAAACAGATTTGGGGAGAGTTACATCTATGTGGCCAATCACATTAACTCTGTATTCTCTAGAAATCCAGCAAAGCAAATTCATATGGAGGTATCACCGGATGATGGGCTCAAAAGGTCTAGAAGCAGAAAGCGAAGAGTTATGAATAATAAAAGTGGTCTTTGTAGGGAAACTGCGCAAACTAAGCAAAACATTAGTATGGGTACAAGACCAGAGATTGATAACAATGTATCTAGTTCCTGGGATGAAGGATATCTCCATTTTGCCCGTCACATCAACCGATACTTTGGAGCAAAAGTAGCAGATACTGTTGAGAAATCACCACATACTGAGATGAACATCTTGAAGACTTCAGTCTCACTGGACACTCTAAATAAACCTAAAGATCCACTTCTTCAGCCCAAATCCCCAGGCTTGTTCCACATGAGCAGCCTCACCACTCGCTTTGGGGAAAATTACACTTACATGGCCAACCACGTTAACCGGTACTTTAAAGGATCTGCAGCTTCAGAGAACGAGGAGGTAGATGGAGAGTTAAACCTTTACAGAGGTTCACATAAGTACACTGTGATCCAGGAAAAAACAGTGTCCTTTTTTGAGTGTCTGTTGAAACCCTCAACTATACCTGGCTTTGTGGGCAGCTACCTGGGAATGGGCTCTTCCAGGCATAGTGACCAGACCACAACTGTAACAAGGACCCCAGAGGAAATTCTGGATAAAACAGTGAGTCCTGCTGACTTTGGCATGACCAGAAATCATAATTAATTTAATCAGACACCCCTACTCAAGTATGTTGGCAATTGAATTTTGGAACTAGTATGAGTTCCATTGAGTGAATGACAGCTAGGAGTACTGATATACTTTTTTTCCCCATTGGTCCATGTGCTAGGGATGCACAATATAGGTACCATATCAGTTACCTGAAGATTTTTAAATGATTATTATGATTGTTAATTCAAAATGTAATGTGTTACTTGCTGTTTTTTTTGTAATTATTTGTGGAACTTATTATACATTTCTGAGTGAAAATTGTTTTAAAGTAAATCCTACAACGGTATTTATTTATTTTTATTTTTTGTGTTTATTTTGTAAAAGCCTTTTTAATTTTTATTTAGTTTTTTTACATATTTATTTATTTTTGCAGCGAATCTGCTTTGAAGCCAATGAAATTGATTAATTATAGCAGGAAATCTGTTTTCTAGGTTTTAAGGAGGAGAAAGGCAGATGAGATGACTAGAGTTCTACTGAAGAGACTGGAAAAGGCTACAGTACAGTCGTCTATCACTTCCTGTGTGGAGGAGCTGAACGCTCACCTCATTCAGCACCCAGCATGCAAGGCTGTGGTGTGGCAGGTATACAGTAAAACACTCAATCCCTTCACCAAATATAGACCTCTCTTGTAACTGTAGAAATTCAGAATTTTCTATTCATTTCTTTGATTAAATATAGGAAAAAGCAGCAATGCAGCTGCTTAGATGCCGCCGGACCTTTTGGATGAATGAAAAACTTCAAGAAGTCATCAGGGAAACTCTCGCTCTGATTGGTTATGTGGATCCGGTCAGAGGTTGTGGGGTCAGGGTGCTTTCCATTGATGGAGGCGGAACCAAGTAGGAAACACCACATTTAATCAACAGTTTATGCCTGTAAAATTGGACAAATATGATCCAATACATTTTCCAAAAAAGCTTTTTAAGGATGCTGAACATCTGTGAGCAATTTACAGAAAAAAGTCAAATATTTTTGTCCCTCGTATAAACAAATGTGTTTATGACAAGATGGCTTTTTACTTAAAGTTGTTTCGTGTATTACAGAGGGTTAGTTCCACTACAAGTGCTAAAACAGCTGGAGGCTCAAACAGGAAAAAGAGTGTATCAGCTCTTTGACTACATATGTGGAGTCAGCACTGGTAATAATGCATGACAAAACTATTCGACAATTCTAAACATATATACATGAACATTCTAAAGTTTGGGGTCAAACTTTTTTTTTGTTACTAAAGATTTCTGTTTTAAATAAATGCTGTTCTTTTTAACTTTTGATTTATCAAAGAAACCTGAAAAAATGTATTATGGTCTCCACAAAATATTAAGCAGCACAAACATTTCACTGTTACTACACTGTTAATAATAATAAATGTTTCTTGATTAGCATATTAGAATGATTTCTGAAGGACAATGTGACACTGAAGACTGGAGTAATGATGCTAAACATTTCACAATATATTTCACAATGTTACTGTTTTACTGTATATATGAATAAATGCAGCCTTGGTGAGCATAAGAGACATTTTAAAAAATCTTACCAACCCCAAACTTTTGAAAGATAGTAAAAACTGACTGCATAATTTACCGCATTAGGCTCTCAATCACCTTGCCTGGGTTCATTTTGCAATAATGACCAGCTTACTCTATGTTTGGTACATACCTATATATTATATAATGTACTTTTTGTCTCCGTTTGGTGTACAGGAGCAGTTCTGGCTTTCATGTTGGGTCTAGCTCATATCTCTTTAGATGAATGTGAAGAGATGTATCATCGTTTCGGGTCAGATGTTTTTCGACAAAACCCTCTGGTTGGTACTGTGAAGATGGGCTGGACGCACTCCTACTACAGCACAGAAACATGGGAGATGATCTTAAGGTTGGATTTACACAGTAAAAAAACTATACTATATTAATGCCAGCGTTGCTTTCTTAACTATTCCTACATGGTCATCATAGGGAGAAGCTGGGGGAGGAGATTTTAATCAAAACAGCCAGAGATGAGCTGAGCCCAAAGGTCAATCAAAGATAGCATCTGGCTTTTTTTTTCAAATCCAGGTTTTCGTGATCTCCTGACTGCTGTTCTCTTCTCACACAGGTGTCTGCCGTAAGTGCCGTAGTGAACTGGGGAAAAAGTCCGAAAGCATTTATCTTCCGCAACTATAACCATGCTCCGGGACGACTGAGCCGCTATGCCGGAGGATCAGGATACCGGCTGTGGCAGGCTGTCCGGGCCTCATCTGCTGCTCCAGGATATTTCCAGGAGTTCCCTCTTCATGGTGACATACACCAGGTCAGAACAGTCCATTTTAGACGGATAGTAAATTTGAGGACTCAAAATATACTTGTATCCAGACCTTCTTTCCTTTCTTTTTTCTCCAGGATGGTGGTCTTATCCTCAATAACCCTTGTGCTCTGGCTGTCCATGAAAGCCGACTGCTGTGGCCCAGCCTGCCCTTCCAGTGTGTGCTGTCACTGGGAACTGGTCGCTATGATAATGCTAGAAGAGGGCCTGCAACTTCCACAAGTCTGAGAGCCAAAATCAGCAACCTGATCTGCAGCGCCACCGATACTGAGGGTTAGTCTGATATCACTATGAGAAGCATTTTACATTTACTAATATTACAAATAATAATTTTACAATTATTGTGTTCAATGCACAATTTACAATTTAATTTTAAAAAAGGTATCTTTCATGGGTTTGTCTTATACCAATTATCAATATAGACAATTATACAATTATTAATATATTATTAATAATTAATACATACTTTTACAATAATGAATTGTGTACAATACACACATTATAATTATTGAATAATTAAATGGTTAAATAATTACTTTGGATAAAAGCATTTGTTATTTTAATACATTTATATTTAAGAAATTAGAAAAAAATAAAAACATTTATTTATTTTTGATGCTATGTACATTTAGCCAGTCAAAACTGTGCTGTTTGCCACGCACTTGCAAAGAATACTTTTGAAATTATTACTTGTGCACAATAAACAATTTACAATTATTTAATAATTATTTAAAACATTCTCTTTGTGGCTCTTAAAATAATGACTTCAGATTAAAACAAAACTTTTAGTTGGATAAATGTACATTTAAGTCCTGAATATAATTGTTAAAGTAAAAAAAGCTAAAATTTTTATTAGGAAGAAAAAAATTAAAATAAATGTGCATTTAGCCAGCTGTGCTGTTTTGCAAACACTTGCATATGCACTTCTCTTAAAAAAAAGCCTTTGGATATACTGAGGTTCATTTAAACATATTGTTCATACTGTCATTTTCAGGTGTTCACACTCTATTGGATGACCTCTTATCACCGAATGTGTATTTCCGCTTTAACCCGATGCTGAGCTCAAACGTGACGCTGGATGAAAGCAGGCCTGAAGTGCTTCATCAGCTGCAGAAAGACACACAGCTGTACCTGGACCGGAACCGACCCAAACTGGAACGCCTGTGTGAAGTGCTGATGACAGAACGCTCAGCAATCTGGAAAACACGGGACTGGATCGGGGGGAAAGCATGGGAGCTGCAGCAGCGCTGGGCTTGAGTGGACTTTACACAGTGCTGACGAGAATTCAGTTGAATGTATGCAATTATGTGGATGAACGCTATAATACAAAAACATCATTAAGTTATAAAGATATGTCCTCACTGGTCGCACAAGATTGTGAAGGGCTGTGTTTTGACAAGTTACAAATCATGTAAGAGAAGTTACAAATCAAATACACAGCCATTTTAGACTAAACGTATTGAGCACTTATATGCCAATATAAATTCTGTATGAATGTCAATATTTATAGACTGATGTATTTATTTCTTTATTTCTGTTTTAATTTTTCAGATTTATGAAATGAAATAAAACTAAGAGCACTACTTCTGTATAATCACTAGTTTGTTTTTTTTATATATATAATATATATATTTTAAATAAGATTAAAGCACATATCAGATGATGTAAAGTATAATTAAAAATTCAGGTATTTTTAATACATTAACCGTGAAGTTCAGACTATAGAAATAATGGGAGAACAGTGGAAATGCAGTGGTTTTGACATTTTAAATGTCATGGGATTTATTTTAAAACAAAACCTATGGATATTATCTACTAGTCTCACTATAAAGACGATAGAAAATCATTACCATACACAGTGACAGATTATGGCAGTGTGACCTTTTCCTTTAAATATACAATACGGCATATTAGAGTCTCTAATCATGGTGAGTTTAGTGATGTTTTCCATGCTTAAATGTCATCGCTCATGTGACTAGCGGTGACTGGGACATCAGTCAAGAGCACCGTTTGTTATTTTGGACAGTTGTGCAAATTTGTCCCTCTGAGAAGTTATTTAACTTCAACCTCTGCTTGAAACGGCAAACAACTGGTGGATTTTTTTAAATCACAGGATTTTTGACAGACTGTCATGGCTTAAGAGACAAAACAATAATGATGCTTTTGTAAATTGAAAACAGACACAGGATCCTCCATCTGAACACTGAACACTGAAGCCACTGAAATATCAACTTGGGTAAGTTTCATTATATTACATATATGATTTATTTATTTATTATTTAATTTAAATGTATATTTCAATATATTTAATGAATTTATATTTATTACATTTTTTATATTAAAACTTTTGTATCTATCGTATTGCTATTCGAGAGCCAGCATTACTGGCTGTAAAACAGTGTGATGTCACTGTTAGCTAAACAATGCATGTTTCATTATAATGTCATCCTCCTTTCTGACTTGAGCTGAGAGTTGTGAGTCAGCTGCTTCATCTGAATTACACTCGTCATTGAAGACAGTGTCAACAACACAGACAGATATAAACCGAGTTAGAGGCTGTTAGTAGTTATGAATATAAACAAAGAATTGTGCATGGGAAAAAACGGCTAACTGTTAAATGAGTTTACATTCATTCTGTCTTGCTTTTAGACCACTCACTAACTGTGAAATATCAATATCTTTCAACTGAGTTTGGCTATTTATGGCTTTGCTAATGTAATGCAAAATCAGAATACAAATACAAAATAAAGACTTTTAAATGGTACTAAAACCACTGATTATTAATCAGCATATGAAAACAAAATGTGCTATCTTGCAGTTTAGGTTAGCCTGTCCTCCTTATGGTTATATAGTTATACAATTATGTTTACATTTAGATTCAACATCTCATGACAGGTTAACCAGCAGATGTTCTTCCAAACAAGCTTAGTGCCACTTATAAGGCTGAACTGACAAAACCCTCAGAGTTATTCTGTCTGAACAGAGCCAGCTTACTGTGTCCGTGTGGACAGAGGTTTCATTGTCCCGTCTGTGGAGGAAGCGGTTCATTCAGGCTCGTGTCCTGCGCTGTACAGTTTAGTGCATGGCACTGCAGAGCTGCTGTTGTCCACTGAGGAACATGACCAGAATTAGATCATGCTTATGTCTCTGTTCACTAAGTGAGCTGACTCAAGAACTTTTTTGTTCTTTCATCGTATTAGGTCATCTGTGGAGCGTACAGTAAGGCCGTACTGGCATATTGTACTTTATGCGTCCCTGGATGCCTGAGCCGATGTGGGTTGGGAATGTGTTTCAGTGGTTGAGATCCTGTTTCCACCCACATCTTCTCTCCTGAGTCAAGCTCTGCCCTCTTGGACGTTGTTGTGACATGGAGTTCATTCAACTTTTTCTGTTTTTGACCACGATAATTTATGTTAACTAAGTTTAAAGCTTTATACAGTTAAAGTGGATATTTAAAGTACACAAAAGAGTACCAGTTTATTAAAGCTGAATTAAATCTCGTTTAGATGCAGTCACGAGTCGCATGACCGCATTTTAATTTTCACTGCGAAACAAACATTTCATTCATTATGAGTTAGCTTAGTTTTTCAGGACCAAACAATGAGACCCACACATTGATGTCATAATCAGAAAGAATGCAAAATATCTTTCAGCTGAGTTTGGCTATTTAAGGCCTATGTTAATATGACAAGATAATTAATAAAAGGGCAGAAATTAAAATAAAGACTTGAATCACAATTTTTACAGTAAATCCTTTGTCACTATAACTAACATGTATTTTGTTGTTTTTGGACACCTTCCATAAGTATACTGAGAGAGAAAGAGAGAGAGAGAGAGAGAGAGAGAGAGAGAGAGAGAGAGAGAGAGATGGAGGGGGTGGGACGTCATTCATGGTTCATGGGTAAAGTGGGCAAATGGATGAAGACAATGAAGAGGGATGTTAGTTGGAGAGGTATACATTACAGAAGACATCTGCTTGGATTGACATTGTTTTGGGCCTATTTGAATGCAACAAATACATTTGGTATTGGAATGACATTTTTGGAAAATGGGACAATGATGACAGATTAATATTAGCATAATGAGGAAACAAACTGCAGGGCTGATATAAAAGGTAACAATCTCCAGATGGTGTACTTGACAAATGTGATATTTGTATAGTATATCATTATTTGAATAATATATCATATTTGTTTTTATTTTAGCACTGTGAAATGAACTGCTGACACGGATAAAGAAGATTTTGTGAATCCTGGATACTCCAGTAGAGTTGGTAGGCTATGCTAGTTTGTGTAATTATACACATAGGCTATTGTTTTCCCACTTTAGGAAACTTGTGATGTAGAATGCAGTAAGTAAATTATGCTATTTTACAAACACAGATGCATTATGTATTTGCATATGTATATCGTATTAAATTATCCATGCAAAGGAGTTGAATATTTTCCAGTTGTTGGTCTTTTATCTGGTCCGTTTATAATTAAACGGCTGTTTCTTTAAACCTATTAATATCATCGTATATTAAACATACACATGTAATGTACAATTCAGCGGGTTTTACATTTTAAAATGTAAAAATAAATACGTTTGTGCTTGTTCTGAATGTAACACTATCATTGACGCAGGACGATTACGCACAGGGCACGGAGGTGCGTAAATGCAAATAGCTCTCAGTTGCGGAAGCAAGTGATTCATTTGCATATGGAATAGTTTGGTTTATGTGCTTCATCATTACAAACGCTATAGCAGCCAGCGTTTTCATGGTTTACCATTAACTTCTACGCAACTCATACAAAACAAAACAAAGTATTAATAATTATGAAAACAGATTAGTTATGAATTAACAAACAGGGATATTCAAGACAAGCATATGTAGGGCAATACTTGAGTATTTTGTAGTTATCTTAGTACTGGTGCTAGTATTTTCTCTGTTCTTTAGGTCACGATAAGGTACACAGCACAGCAGAGATGAGAGCTCTGAAGTGTTGGAGGATTCCTGCCATACTTACTATCCTACAGCAAACATGGATTTTAGCCATGGAAATTCCTCCTGATGGTGAGGAACTGCTATTTGGAACTTGTCCACAGCTGGCCTTGTGACCAAAGTTCATTGTTTATTCTCATACGTTGCCCTTTGAATTAATTTAACATTATATTTTGATGTGTACTGTATATCCCCACAGTCAGACAGCCTCCAATGATCTTTAAAGAGAGTCCTCAAGACTACATAGTAGATCCAGTTGACCCTATTATAGTAGAGTGTGAAGCAACAGGGAATCCACCTCCAGTGTAAGCATCCAACAAGCACTTTAGTGTCCACACATTGTAATATATAATAATAAATGTCAAGTCTTTTATTGGACTAACTTGGTTACTTGCCGTGTCTAGACCTTTTTTGGCCTTTGTCTCCCTATGATTTGCCTTTGTTTGGTTGTGTAAAAAGTGCTAAAATATTGATTGATCACAATGTAAAATGTATACATTGACTGATAAATGACACTTATTGCACGTAGCTTCACATGGACACGTAATGGAGTGTACCTGAATGTGGCTCGAGATCCTCAGGTCAGCATGAGGTGGCGTTCTGGCACATTAGAGATTTTCTTCTGGGGTCGTCCTAATGACTATGAGGGTGTATATCAGTGCACGGCGACTAATGAGTTTGGCTCTGCTCTGTCCAGTTACATCAACCTGCGTGTCTCCAGTAAGCCCTTACACAGCATGCAATTGTTAATTCACAGCAATAACATTTGGTAAATGGGTTTTTTGAACATGTCATTTCTGTGATCAGAGGCCCGTACATGGTTGAAGGAGTATCTGGAGCCAGTCTCAGTGGTGGTTGGACTTCCTCTCATCCTTCCCTGCAATCCTCCTGTAGGTCCTCCAAAACCTAGCACTTACTGGCTGAACAGCAGTAAGTCTCCAGCTTAGATGTTTCTGATATGAAAGCTAAAATGATCTAAAGTTGCTTTGGAAGCATCAGAGTCAGTGCTAAGTTGTACTAGGATGTAAAATATTGTACCATTGCTTCCACTAAATTATTAAGCAGCACAACTGTTTTCAGTGATTATTGAAGGAAAACTGAAAGAGAATTATTTAAAACGCATTCAAAAAGTTTACCGAGCCCACACTTTTAAATGGTACTGTATCTGTATAACAAGTCTTCAATTCAACTGTTATGTTTGTCGAACCATAAATACACCTTTAAATATACTGGCTATGGTTTGTATCCAATTTCATTTTATTCCACAGCCATGGCACTAATCCGTCAGGACCGACGAGTATCAAAAGCAGAAAATGGAGATCTGTACTTCTCCAGTATCGTAGCAGAAGATGCTCTTACAAACTATGTCTGTGTTGCGCGCTTCCCCTTCACAAACACCATCCAGCAGAAACCGCCCCTCATTCTGCAGGTGCTTACAGGTCTGTGTGATGAATCATTTTCATTCTGCTTTGGGATTATTCTTTAAGCAAATCTGGTTTAATATTCCCCCATGCCTGTCTGTGTGTGTTCAGTTTGAGGAAGAGCCATGATTAAATCCATCTAACAGTCTAACGCCATGGTGAGTTAGGAATCTTATGCTTCTTTATTGTAAACACTCAACAGACTGATCCACTAACTAGTCACGTTTGCTTTGGCCAGGTTTGTAAAGTGTCAAGTTCTCTGTCAAATTTGTGTTTTATTTTATGTCTATGTAGCTCGCATGGCAGCCCATACGGCACCCAGGTTTCTGAAACCCAAAGGAACCGCCAGCACAACCATTGCGATGCTGGGGGAAGAGCTTATTTTGGAGTGTTTTGCTGCTGGAGTGTGAGTTTTAATATCATTTTGATGACATATCTGTTTTCTGAGACCAGTTGAATGCAGTTGATTATTTGATTAGCTTGTTGTGAAACCTGCTTTTAACCATTAGTAACTCTGATTCTCTCTTTTTTCTTGCAGTCCAACTCCCTTCATCAAGTGGACTAAAGATTGGGAGGAGATGTCCATGACAGGAAAGAAGTTGGAAAACTTTAATAAGACACTTAGAATAAAGAACGTCTCTATGGATGATGGAGGAGACTACATCTGCACCGCTTCAAACAGGATGGGCAGCCTGGACCACGTCATCACTGTCAGGGTCAAATGTAGAATACTTCATTACTTTATTATTATTGTTCGTAACTGTCACTATGTGGATTCACCCAAAAATCTGTTGTTCATTCTTTTCTATAGAACCCAAATAGAGAATTTGAAGAAAGTTTACGCTGTTCTTTTCCATACGATTCCAGTTAATGCTTCATAGTGACAAGACCACATCTGTCACTGAACAAAAACACATTATAAAAGCACCATAATGACATTCCAAACAACTATATATTTTACGTATACATTGTGCGAGGAGCAGACCAACATTTTTGTCTTTATTCACTAAAAATCAAAGAATTTAACAATCAAATTTGACACATTTCACCTCATCACATCAGCCTTGACATTTAAAACATCATCTAACATAAGTGACATTACACCTGCTTCTGTTTTCATAGTACTGTTCAAAAGTTTTGAGGCCTGTATAATTAAAAAATATTTTTAAAGGAAGTCTCTAATGCTCAGTAAGGCTGCATTTGTTTGACCAAAAACAGAAATGTGAAATATTATTGCAATTTGAAAAAAAATTCTATTTGGATATATCTTAAGTTTTTAACTTTATTCTTGTGATGGTAAAGCTGAATTTTCAGGAGTCATTTCTCCAGTCTTCAATGTCACATGATCCTTCAGAAATCATTATAATATGCTGATTTGGTGCTCAAAAACACAAATCTATACCAAAACATAAGCATTATGGAACAATATGAAGATGACTAAACAATGACTAAATTTTATTTGAAGTATTACTTAATGAATGACAAAATCCAGATCGCTTTCTATTCTCAATTCTCTTTCCATCTGCAGCGGTTCCATTCTGGGTGGAGAAACCTGAGAGTCTGGTTTTGTCTCGTGATGACAGTGGTAGTATAGTGTGTAGAGCTGATGGAATTCCTCGACCACAGATACAGTGGCTGGTTAATGGAGAGCCAATCAGTGGTGAGGGAAAAAAACAGCTTCATATACAACCAGGTGCACTGCTAAGCTTTTTAATACTAATTTTTTCTGTGTTCACTTTAGATGCTCCTAAGAGTCCAGGCAGACAGGTTTCAGGAGACACTTTGACGTTCAGGGCTGTGGTTCCAGACAGTGCTGCTGTGTTCCAGTGCAATGCTTCAAACCAGTACGGCTATATCATGGCAAACGCTTTCTTGGCTGTAATGGGTAAGAGCTAGAAGAAGCTAGAATTTACATGCACCATCAGCTTTAATGAGTAATTGCAATTTTACTATGTTGTCGGCAGATATGAGACCTCGCCTGTTAGGTCCCAGAGATGAACTCATTAAAACAACTGAAGGCAATCATACTCATTTAGACTGCCCATATTTTGGGTCTCCGAAACCTGACCTGCGTTGGTAAATATATGGTCTTACTATCATTTTAAATTGCCACAAATACAAGCATAAAAACAGGAGATATGTCTATTGTGATTTTGTGAATAAACAAAACAAGCAGTAATTGCATAAAAAAATTCAAAAGTGTACATAACAAAGTTTCCAATCAACGTGTGTATAGGTCAAAAGGAGGACTAGGTACCTTAGAGGGAAGTCGTCATAGGATTCTTCCAAATGGTACACTGGAAATCAGAAATACAAAGCTACAAGATCAGGGAAGCTATGTGTGTGTTGCAAGCAACGTCATTGGACGAGATGAGAAAGAGGTCCAACTAGAGGTCAAAGGTCAGTATCTAGAAGAGTTTCTTCTTTGAAATGTCTACCTAACATACCTATGTTTCATATGCACCTGTGTCCATTTAAGACATCAAAATAATTAGCCAAGAAGAAAATTCAAACTTTTTGCTTTACAGATACTTGATTCTCCATTTTACTTAATGTTTTATGTGTCATAATAACCCAAGTTGACCTGATTGTTTGAAGACTAAATGCATTTTAATTTTATAGAGCCCATTAAAATCGTTCGTGCCCCACACAATACTGTAGTCATAAGAGGAAGTCTGGCTCGTTTTGATTGTAAGATTAAATTTGACTCAACTCTGGATGTCACCGTCACTTGGCTTAAGGACAAGAAGTTCTTGATCTTAGGAAGGAGGTAAACACAACTAATTATTACATCTGGCCACAAGCACAAGTGTCATTAATTATTCTAGTGGTTTACTGCAGTAAAAGAGACCTGTATTTGACTGCTTTGTCTTACAGGATGACCAAGGATGAGGATTCTCTGAGCATTGCTGATGTGTACAGACGAGATGAAGGCGTCTACACCTGCAGGGTTAAAAGTGAACTGGAGGAGGTCACTGCCCCAGCCAAACTCACTGTGATGGGTACTAGCACATATACCATTTCTATACATGTATGCAGTATAAACATGAGCATATTATTCATGTATACTTTTGCTTTCAGATCGTCCAGACCCGCCCAGTGACCTAGAGATATCAGACCCATCAGAGAGGAGCGTTAGACTCACCTGGGTACCAGGACTGAGCAACCACAGTCCTATTAAAGGCACACACATCCACACAAACATAGATGCAAACAAAAATGTGAAACAATCTAGCCTTACAATGACATAATTCTGAATGAATTCTCTTTTAGAGTACCTGGTTCAATATACCGAAGATCTCCTTGCAGACTATTGGCTGCTGCCAAGCGGCTGGAAGAACCTGTCCAGCTACCCGGGGAGCCTAAACTCTGTCATTTTACAGCTGACACCGTTTGTAGAGTACAGATTCCGGGTCATCACTGTAAACGGTATAGGTCCCAGTAAACCCAGCTGGCCATCTGAATACTACCAGACAGGAGGAGCTGGTAGGTCCTTATTCTATTGTTCTGTTCTGTTCTATTCTCATTCAAAATTTTGGGGTCGGTAAGATTTATTTATTTATTTATTTTTTGTCAATCACAACTACAGACAAGGTCCATTCACACCAAGGACGACAACGATGATAACAATAAAGATATAGTTTTAAATTTATTTAAAGTTTAAAAGTTGATCGTTCTAAATTTTTAAATAGTAGCAAAGTCCACACCACAACTATAATGATTACAGCACAGAGGAATCACTTTCAGAATGATGAAAGATAAAAACGTTAACAGCCAATCAGAATCCACCTGATTTTAAAGAGCTTTGACTCTTTAAAATCAGACCACAAAACTGCAGCATATGCTTATAATAAACAAAATGTTATCATAAATTGGCATGGACACTTATATAGTTATCAATATAGTTATCGTTCTTGGTGTGAACAGGCCATTATTGTGAAATATTATTACACTTTAGAATAGCTGTTTTCTATGTTTTATATAATGTAAAATGTAATTTATTCCTGTGATGCAAATCTGAATTTTCAGCATCATTACTCCATTCTTCAGTGTCACATTAATCTTTAAAAATTATTCTAATATACAGATTTGCTGCTCAAGAAACATTTATTATTATTATCGATGTTGAAAACAGTTGTGCTGCTTAATATTTTTGTGGAAACCATGATAAATGTTTTCAAGATACTTTGATGAATAAAGCATTCGAAATAACAGCATTTATTTAAAATATAAATATTTTGTAATATTATAAATGTTTTTTACTGTAACTTTTGATAAATTGAATGCATCCTTGCTGAATAACTGTATCAATTTCTTTAAAAAAAACTTTGAATGGTATATTATTATATTATGTTATGTTGTGTTGTGTTGTGTTATGTTATATTATATATTGAGTTATGTTTTGTGTCTTTAGTGCCTGATGCCATCCCAAGGAACATCCAAGGAATGGGAAGTGGAGTGTTCAGAAATAACATGGAGATCAGCTGGGAGGTGATATACTGTAGATTGATTGTAGTCAGAGATGCTGACTGTGATGTAATCTCATGCATATGATTTATATTAACTGTGATGTATTTGTTGTGTCTGAAGCCACTGGAGTACAGAGAATGGAATGGGCCGAAACTGGGCTACATGGTTTGGTGGAGACGAAGGGATTCAAGGGAAGAGTGGAAGAACTACACAACATACTGGTGGTGTAGCTACATCATCTATGACACTGACACCTTCACACCCTATGAGATTAAAGTTCAGGCCGTCAACTTTTTCGGCTATGGCCCAGAATCTACTATTGTGCTTGGCTACTCTGGGGAGGACCGTAAGTTCACATCTACTTCATTAACCCTAAAGTTCTGTTCAACATACATTAGAAAAAGAGATGTGAGTCAGTGTTTCACTCATATTGGGTTCTCTAACAGGTCCTGTTGCTGCTCCATCTGACCTGAGTGTGTCAGACATCGAGAGCTCAACGCTGACAGTCCATTGGGAACCAGTGTCACGAGCTGACATCATGGGTGAAATAAAGGAGTACAAAGTATGCCTTCTTAGATGCACAGGTCAGTTCATTTGCATGCAGTAAATGATATGGGCTGCTGATGGAGCTGTGGTTGGTTTCTCAGGTTTATTACTGGAGAGAGAACAGTCGCCTGCCCTGGCACACTGTGAGCAGGAGGATTAAGACCAAGAGTTTTAAAGCTAATGGACCTCGTTTGTCTGGGACCCTGACTGGTCTTGTACCGTATAGTAACTACAGGATGTATATTGTAGTGGCCAATAATCGCTATGAAGGTCCGCCCAGCAACACCATTGAGTTTCAGACGCCTGAAGGAGGTATTAAACTGTTCACTTAAGATTATAACACATCGAACACATACTTGACTTCTTACATGCACCTTCCTTTCCACTCTAGTGCCCTCAATTCCCAGATCGTTCAGAATCATGCACCGGCACTATGACACCATTTACCTGGACTGGGAAGAACCTGCAGAACCCAATGGCATTCTGACCGGATATATTCTCAAATATCAGACATGTAAGTGCACTTACATCACTTCTCATGACTTTTTAAAAAGCATAAGAGTCACAAATTCAGTTTTGTCTGACACCCAAATTTGTTGGAAAGAAATCTATTCAGCTCACCAAGGCTGAATTTATTTGATCAAAAATACAGTCAGATAGTAATACTGTGAAATCTTATTACAAAAAAATGTTTTCTATTTGAATGTATCTTAAAAAGTTATTTATTCCTGTTATGGCAAATCTGAATTTGCAGCATCATTACTCCAGTCTCCAGTGTCACATGATCCTTCAGAAATTATTCAAATATGCTGATTTGAAAAAAAAAATTCTTATTATTATCAATGTTGAAAACAGTTGTGCTGCTTAATATTTTTGTGGAAATCGTGATGAATAGAAATTTCAAAAGAACAGCATTTATTTTAAATGGAAATCTTTTGTAGCTTTATAAATGTCTTTATTGCTAATCAATTTAATGCATTCTTGCTAAATAAAATATTAATTTATTTTAAATTTTTTATATTTATTAAAAAATGAATGACTATAAACTTTTGAATGGTAGTATATGTGTAAATTATATAAACTATTCTCATGACATCATCATTTTGACAGTCTCTTAAACTAATATTTAGTATACTGTGGTAAAAAACATTATTTATTATGATAAAAAATGCCCACAAACCTTGCATGTCTTTCCCCCCAAATAGCATTACTTAAAATTATGACATTATTTTTATTTTTTCTGCAGCATTTTATTTTATTTTGTAATCATTAACATTTTGTTGTTTGTTTATTACTAGAAAATGTCTAAATGACCACACAAATCAGGGTTCTTAATGGTATCTAGCCTTACAAGACTGTGATCATAATTTCTCTGTAGTGAACGTCACTCTGGGCGACAGAATCCAGGTTGAATACATTACTCCGAACATCACCTACTTCTCCCTGCGGCGATTTGACCGTTACACGCGATACAAGTTCTCACTGGCAGCACAAACCGAGGTTGGAGCCGGGGAGGCGTTCACAGAGGAATCACCCCATTTTACAACTGAGGGTAAGGTGTCTTCGTTTACATTCATATGGTCATTGTTCTGTAACCATAATTCCTAACATGTCTGCATGATTGGCTGTGTGCATGAACAGAATATACCCGGGATCAAGTGGACATTGTGACGCAGGGTTGGTTCATTGGCTTAATGTGTGCAGTCGCTCTCCTTGTTCTTATCATGCTCATAGTCTTTTTCATCAAGAGGAGCCGAGGAGGAAAGTACCCAGGTGCGATAAAAAGGACTTGAGACAAGTTGCATGTAATTATTATGCATTATATATAATATATGTGGCAAAGCATTATTTTGATTGTTTTTTTTATATATAAGTGCGGGACAAGAGAGACATTGCACTGGAGCCAATGGATGATAGAGAGAATGGAACGTTTGATTACAGGTGACTTTGTATGATTTTGAAAATGTTAAAAGTTTTCTTAAGTTTATTTACTACAGACACACTTTATTTTCAGTGATGCACTTACATAAAAACAGCATGTGAGGATGAAAAATTCATCAATCCTATCATTTACATCATAATATAATCACATTAGCACAGGTTGATTTGCAGTATGTTCTGTATACCACAATAATTGTTCCTTTTTCATCACTCCATCCATCACACATTTCTCACGTTGTTTATTCCTCCTTTATTTTTGTTTTATGTCTTTTGCGATTGGACCCCTGAAGGTCTCTTGAGAGGTATGATTTATGTCATTTTTAACAGAGTTGACTTTTTTTTTGGTTGTTTAATTAAATGGCCTTATATTTTTACTACAGTACTTTAATACACTACAAGTATTCCAGTCTAAAGATTGTGTTTTTTAAACCATGTTTACACTACTGTTCAATGGTTTGGGAAATTAATACTTTTAATCAGCAGATGCATTAAATTGTTCAAAAGTAAGAATATTTATAATAATAATTTGAAAAAGAGTTCAATTTCAAATAATTGCTGTTCTTTTTAACTTTCTGCTCATCAAAGAATGTATCACAGCTTCCAAAAAATATTATACAGTACACATTGATAAATGTGAACTTGAATGTTTCTTGAGCAGCAAATCAGCTTATGAGAATGATTTCTGAAGTATCATGTGACACTGAAGACTGGAGTAATGATGCTGAAAATGTGCACATGAAGAGATGTTGAGCATCAAGAACTTTGTGCTTTGTTGTTTAACCAGTGTTTGATCTCACTGATAGTTGCTACTAATTCATGTATATTTTATTTTTCAATAGCACACTTGTATTTTTTGTGAGTTTGCTGTACTGTAGGTCACATTAATGGACAACAAACCATTTATTCTCACACAGAATACAATTTAAACTTTCGCTGCTTTTTATAGTATGATATACATAATTTTTTATATTTTTTTTTTGAGTCTGTTAAGAGTACTATCATATGTGTAGTGCTTTAGTTATTAAAATACATCAAGAGAATTAATGTCTTTGTCATAACTGAAGTAAAGGTCATAACAGTTCAGTGACCAGGGTCTATCACGCTCCAAATAGAGCAAAAACACAATATAACTGGATTTATTTTGCAAATCGAGCACTCGAGCAATCTCACTTGGCTAAGGATTAAAATGATTTTCCAGCATAGTTACCAGCTGCTGATAAGTCTTTTCACTTGAATTTGTTGAGCTGAGAAGATTTTGCATCACATAATTCTGTGCTCCCACAACACTTATGAGAATCGCTGTTTGCATACCCTCCTCCTTGATTCCATTAGCCACAAAAAATGCTCCAGTATTTCAGTATATTCTTCCAACGATTGAGTTTTTGCATCAAACGCTGCCAGTGAGCCAATAGTTTATGTAGCCATTGTTCCTCTTCTTCTCTCTATCCTTTAGACACTTATATTTCTCCCACAGCCAGTAATCAGCACAATGCTCTTTTTCATCTCCTCACTCCGTTGTCATCCAGCAGTTTCTGCTTCATCGTTGTCACCAAAAATGTAGTATCTTCAATAAAGATCACGCTGCTACTTGTATTGAGTTGAAGTTCTGTCAGGACCACCAGCATCATAATGACTGACTTAGTATCAACTTTGGATTAAGCGGAATGGTTCTGTTCTGGGCAAAACCCTAAAAATTTTTATCATTTGCTCACCCTCATGTCGTTCCAAACCTGTATGAGTTGCTTTCTTATGTTTAACATAAAAGAAGATATTTTGAAGATTGCTGGTAATCAAACAGTTGGTGGTTGACATTGACTTCCATAGTAGGGAAAAAAATACCATGGAAGTCAATGACAACCACCAACTGTTCGTGTATTATATTTACATTTCGTACCACGTTGTAAAAACTTTAGGTGTTTAATTATGTATGTCTGTTTTAATTGATAAATAACACGCCACAAGTGTTACAGACGGAAAATCAAAGAGCAATTCTGTCTTATTTTTACGTGCGTATATCTGTTCAAACTGTTATAGCCTACCACACCACAAATTAAGATTGACAAAAATAAAAGACAGATTAAAGGAATAGCTGAATTAAGTGTGAATAACTAAATAAACTAAAATAAATCAACATTTGCCTGCGGCTTAAGGGCCTTTGTTTAGAAGAAAAACTTGTTGGCCTATAGGCTAATTTTGAATTCGCTGGACTGAAGTGAAAACGTTCTTTGCTCTCTTTTTGTACAATGAAAGTGTTATAGGCTAATTAGGAGTCAAGTCTAGTCACAGTTGTTCTTCCTGAGTTCAGTCAAGTCACAGCTGATCATCATGAGTCAGGTCAAGTTCCAGTTCATTATCATGAGTCTAGTCTAGTCACATTTGATCTTCTTGAGTCAAGTCTAGTCACAGCTGATCTTCCTGAGTCGAGTTTAGTCGCAGTTGATCGTTATGAGTCAAATCGTTATGAGTCAAATCACAGTTTATCAGCATGAGCCTGGTCCAGTCACAGCTGATATTCATGAGTCTAGTCAAGTCACAACTGATCGTCATGAGTCAAGTCTAGACACAGTTGATTATCATGAGTCAGGTCAGATCACAGTTGATTCCCCTGAGTCAACTAAAGTCACAGCTTCCATTGCTGAGTCAAGTCAAGTCTCAGCTGATCTGCCAGAGCCTCGTCACATCACAGCTTATCTTCCTGAACCAAGTCAAATCACAGTTGTTCTTCATGAGTCAAGTCACAGTTGATCGTCATGAGGCAAGTCAAGTCACCATTGTTATTCATGAGTCCCGTCACGTCACAGCTGATCATCCAGAGTCCCGTCACGTCACAGCTGATCATCCAGAGTCTCGTCAGGACACAGCTGATCGTCAGGAGTCTTGTCATGTTCTGTCT